CCCGGCGCCCCCCGCCGGGCTGCTGCCCTCGCCGGGGAAGGGGCTGGATGAGGTGGGGTGGGGGTGGCAAGGGGCTTTATCCCTTCTCCGCTCGCTGTGTGCGCTTCCAGACACACATTCTTAAAGGTCTTTTTACCGACTCTTCTTCCATTCCTTTCACGCTCTGTGAGAAAGCACGGGGCTGCTGGAGGCTTATTTCTCTTAGTGACTGGTTGGGGTGGGTAGTCTATTGTGTCTCATATGTTTGTTTATTTTTACTTATAGGGCTTAAGCCTACAAGTGTAGGAGGTGGTGAGCCTGCTGCTCCAAGAATCCTCCTCTATCTAGAAATGTGGGTCAAAAAAGAAGATGTGAAAAAAAAAAAAAAGAAAAAGAAAGAAAAAAAAAGACAGCCTGCTTCTCCCAGTCTTAGTGGATTTGTAATTAATAACGTATAGTATCTGCACCTCTGAACTTGATAATGCAAAAAAACCCCACAGCTGTCAGCATGGGGAGATCAATGTATATCAATATTTAACTGACTGCATAAGGAGCCTGATGTAAACCATGTCATATTATGATAAGCTGCTGTCTTACTGAATCTCTTACGAGGTTGTAAATGGAATAATAGTGAGCGAATTAATGCACAGCTTATGTAACTCTTAGTAAATGTGCATGCACTGTACCATTCCTATTTTAAGAACTCGATTAGTCTAAACTGGATAATATTACAAGCATATTTCTGCAGGAAATTGGTCTGCCTGTGTCCTGCATCAGCAACCTGAAGTGTTGCATCCTGACTGTAACTTTAAACCAAAAGCTCTTCAAGCAAAAAATCTGTTCTCATTTATACTGCTCCAAGCACACCAATTCCTAAATATTTCTAGAGTGTGCTGTCAGTACCCTGAAGACTTCAGCTTCTTCTGTAAGAGCAGGTAGTGGATCTGTAAAAAAGATGTGGTAATTTGAGCACCACAGAATAGCCTGAGTTAGAAGGAAGCCACAAGGATCACAAAAGCCCAGCTCCTGCCCCTGCACAGGATATCCCCAAGATCATGGGTGGTACTTGCAGATTGACCACAGGGAAGAGAAGTACATCACATGGTGTTTGGCTATGCCACATTTCAGGCTCAGAATTGCAACGCCGGGCACAGCCTGTGCCTGCACCTTTCCCATTGTATCTTGTGAATGGTAGTGCCTGTGGGAGCTCTCACAAGTCAACAGAAGGCTTTTTCTTCCTCCAGCACTAAGTGTTTTTAAGCAATGCTGTGTTGGCAGTGAAGGTGAGAGTACGAAAGGTGATGATGTCAGGACTAAACCAGCTGTTTAACTCTCACTGGTTCTTAGGAAGTAAAATGTGACACTTTTATGCTCTCTTGTATAGCACCTCCAAGTTCCTTTTTCTGGAAGAGGACTGCCCCTTTCACAACTTCCAGAAATATGCAAAATCAGACTGAATTCCAACTTTGAAACATACATAGAACAATACTGGGCATAAAATGAAGGAAACTATTCAGTTGGTCTGTCCCTATTTTAAATTTTTGCGTCAGAGACAGCCAAGAAAATTAATCTCCATCAATTTCCTAACTGTTCCCTTAAGAACATCAGAGGGCATTATGAGCATTCTTCTGAGAAGAAAGTAGCCTTTTGTTAACCAGCAGTAATGTAAAGAATCAAAGCCCTTCTGGTTTAAGCCCATAAGCTTGATCAGCTGGGTCTTTCAGGTTGCTGTTCAGAGCTGAAGGTGTTCTTTTGGCAGTTCACTGAGAGGCAGACCACAGAATGTTCTTCATAGCTCCAGGTGTTGTTCTCAGAGAATTAAGGTAGCCTTTAAAAATAGCAATGCCCAGGCATAAATTCATAATGAAGTTTCATTACCTTGGGATTTTTAAAGGTGGTGAGTAGCCTTTGGAAAGACCTGTGTATTCCTGTTCTCAGAGCTGCTTTGCACAAACAGTAAATTTTTGTTTTCTGTGAGAACTGACTTGAGCTGCTTATCAAAGATGGAAGAGTGTATCTTATAATTATATTTTATTATAATATTTATTATATTGTGCTAAAGATATGTTGCAGGAGTACATTAATTGAATGACAGGTATTAAATTGCTCAGGTCTCATGCATGTTAGAAGCATGCCCAAAAGCAGCCTTGTTACTCCTTAGAATGTGGGATTCCATGGGATAAAGCATCTTGAGGAGGGCAGAAAAATCCAGGACATCAATGGACCTAAACAAAGTTTGATCATACATGTTTAGTCAAAAAAAAGTGGATTCTCTAAACCAATCATTTTGATGCATTCTCTGGATCCCAGCATGGAAGGAATAGATGTCCTAATGAGCTTTTTATTGTGGATCACCTTAGCTCAGTCATCCATTAAACAAACAAACAAACAAAAAATAATCCCTGGGTTTGGATCCACAGTGTATGCAGGACAACAGAGGAGTTGGCTGGGTGGGAGGATATAGAACACAAGAATGTTTCCAGATTGAAATGGAGATAGGAATGTGCATTGTTTATGCAGAGCGTAATGAGGAGCATAATCTCCGGCATAAGATCCAGAAGTCTTTTTGTGTCACCAAAGGATGAGGTAAAGAACATTTCCTGCTTGTGATGATTGCCATCAGGCAAGGCAAGACCATGGGCCCCTCATTGTGCAAAAAGCACTTGCTTTCCTGAGCATAATGCTTTGTGCTGTTCCTGGGGTTACTGCATGTGAAAGCATAAATGAAGCACCTACTGGTTAAGCAGTGAAGTAGATCCAAGGAACAGAGACTAAACAATAGGTATTCAGGGACCAGTCATGTCTGAAATGAGGAAAATCTTGAGCCCTCAAACTTTTGTTCAGACAAAGAGAATGAGAGGAAAAGCAGCAGCATTTTGCTTTCAGCTCTTTTGAGTATTTACTTCATCTACTTCCTCTGATGATCCTCATGAGAGAAACACAGAAAACCCCAAAGATCCCAGTGCCTGAAACCGTAATGCTCTGGACAAGCCTACTGTGCATGCTGACAGGGAAGTTCACTATCTTCCAGCTTCTGAAGGCTCCTTTTACTGAGATATTTTTAGTGACTTGCAGAAGCTTTGCAAGTTTTACCTCAGTGGGATAATAATGTAATTCTTAGATTCCGGTTTCTTTTTCAGTTACACTTCTGAGCTTGGAAAGGCACTTCCATTCAAACAATTACTACAACAAGCATGATTAAAATCACACAATCCACAACCTCCTTCCATGAACACTGAGGAGGTTATCTTGGATTCTGACACACATCAGAATTACTTAGATTCTGCAGCAAACTTGTGTTTATTTTCTGCATAGCACAAGTAAGGACTGATAGTCTTTAGACAGCATGGCTTTAATATTTTCAGTTTCAGTCAGTCTGTATTTACAGGCATTTCTATTTTAAAGTTTCTTGATGAAGTTATAAGCATTTTGCCACTTTCTTTACCCTAAAAAAGGCATTTTACGGAACATAGTGTCAGTGTGCCATCTAAGAAAAATAACATATTGAATTTAAATACTCTAAGATATTTTATATTTGTCTTGGAGTTGGTTGTCTGGCAGTGAAACTTGGAAGAAATAAGACATGCTTTGAGGAAATGGAAGTTAGTAGATGGTGTCAGTATACAAATGAAGTAGAAAATTACTTTAAAAGATTGTAGAAAGCTGTTATCACATAAAAGCACATGAAGAAGCAGCCTCTTTCTGCTTTTTACATGGAATTGGAATACCTTTCTAACCCTGAAACTTAAACACAGGGTCTGGTTGGACTTGACCTTTGAGGAAACAGCCTCTTTCAGCTCTGTGACTAAAATAAGAAAATATTCACCAAAATTGCAAATACAATGGTAAGGAAATTCAACTTAGGATCTATTGAATAGTTAATATCAAATTGGCTTGGACTACTATGGACACCTAAAAGTGTAATGATGCCACTTTGCATGTGACTGACTGTGCAGTCTAGAAAGAGGTATGTTGTTCCTACAAGTCCAGGTGCTATATGGTTTACACAGTGAACCAGCTGAGAATCATGAGATGATTGATAAAGTAAGTCGCAAGCAAACACTTTTGATTTCTGGTGGTACCGGTGTTTGGGTTCTAGACTGGTTATTGGCTAAATATGGGTAACGTCGAGAAATCGGAGCAAATAATTCTTCATGCTGTGTAGGGTAGGCAAAGGATTGAGAGCCCGGTGCGGTTCGTGCCGTGGGCTGCAGCTCTGCCGGCAGATGTCACTGTGCGCGGCCTTAAAACCCTCTCTGCCGCCTCGGAGCGCGGAGCTGAGCGTGGCCGGAGATGTTTTCCTCTTGTGCCCGCTGACTGCAGAGCTGACACAGCCCTGTGCAGGTACCAGTTCCTGCTTCAGGGGTCTGGAGCCATTAGAGCTGCGAGAAAGCGGCAAAGCCTTGAACTCAAAAACGATTTAAATCTGTGCGCCACTGGAGTTACGAGCTCAGGGAGGAAAGAACAATTCTTTCTTTCCTATAGGAAGGGCCAGCATTTTTTTAGGAGATGATCTAACTGGATCACTGAATGTGGGGCAGAGTATGCAGAGAGTCTCCCTCTGCAGTTTGCCTGATCCTTCTTTGTTAACCAGAAAGATCTGATACTGAGCAGCACAGACAGATCCACAGTCACTGCTTAATGGCCCGTCCATACGGATCTGTCTGAAAGTGGTCACTTCTCACAGAACTTCAACCAGCTGTGACACGAAGCAGAAGTTCTTTCTGTTTATACAGAAGGCATGACACAAAGTAATTGCAGGTGTTTCTGGGAGAGGTGAGAATCTTCTTCCTCAAGGTATAAACTTAAATAGACTAAAGTTATGAAATGAGGAGTGTATGGAGGAAAGGAGTGTTCATTTAAAAACAAAACAAAAAACCCAAAACCCAAGTGTATTTATTGGCAAGTGGGGTCACAGTGGGAGCTGTGGAATTTAGTACCCAAAAAACCCCAACAAAACCAAAATAATTACAAAGAACAGTTGGATCACTAAACTCTTGCATCTTCAGAACTGAATAGCAATTGCTTTAAACGTGTGTATGAGTTGGCTTTCTCCTGTAACTGGTAACTTTGTGAAGGTTTAACTTCAGCAGTTTATTGTATCTTCTGCAGCTCTTCATGTCCCTTCTTCCTAAATCTGTGGGGCAAAAAACCCCTGAGACTCTTGGTGTCCAACAGCAAATAAATCAATCCTTTCAGCAGAGGAGGAAAGACTTGCTTATACAAAAAGGAGAATTTTGTTCCATGTGCAGTTTTCCATGTGGTTTTAAATTTAATTGTGTTTGACGTCAAAAACATAAGCATTAAACACTGGAAGAAAACCACCGTAATTTCTTGTCTTTAAAGGTTTCTGGTTTTGAGACTAAAAAAATACTGATTTCATCTACCAGAATCACTTTGGAGACCATGCTAGAAGCCAGGCATAGGCATTTGCAACTTCCAGTAAAATCAGAGGAAATTGTATTTGCTTCTAATATATCTTGCTTTGCCTAACAAGAGACTACTGTCTCTTGCTAGGAAAAATCAATAGATTTATTTGTGAACTGCGTGAAACATGCCTGCTCTTCTTTGGAGTATCATGATCTTTGGTAGAGATGGGAATGCCTTAATTTTAACTGCAGCTTTTGCTTGTTGAAATTGAGCAAAAAACAGTAAGGGAATCTTTTGCTACGTGGCAAGTAGGGATAAGATAATAGTAAAAGTGACTTGTGGCCTTAATTGAGCCTTAAGATTTCTTTTTACTTAAATACAGGTTTGTAAGCGAATGGACTTGGTTTGCCAGAGAATGCTAAATCAGGGATTTCTGAAAGTGGAAAGATACCACAACTTGTGTCAAAAGCAAGTTAAAGCTCAACTTCCAAGGTATGTACCAGTTTAAACTGGAATTAAATTTAATTGTGTTAGATTCATTTAACCAGATTATTGAAAAGGAATTCCTTTCTGGATAATTCCTCTCATATATCTTGAAAATTTGAGTCACATTTGCCCCTTTTCCTTTTCCTTTTCCTTTTCCTTTTCCTTTTCCTTTTCCTTTTCCTTTTCCTTTTCCTTTTCCTTTTCCTTTTCCTTTTCCTTTTCCTTTTCCTTTTCCTTTTCCTTTTCCTTTTCCTTTTCCTTTTCCTTCTCTTCTCATCTTGAACCTTAGATTTAATTACAGAATAATGGTGTGAAAAGTGTGTCTGGTATTTCAGAGAAGTCTGGGTTCTGTATTACTCAGCTCTTCTGGCAAATCAAGCGAGGATTCCTGGGAATGAATAAATTCCATTCCTTTTCAAGACCAACTGCCTTTACTGATGATTTATCAAAGACTTTGCTGTAAAAAAAGGGCAAGGATTAAATGGGAACAAGGAAGAGGGATTTGATGTGAGGGTTACTGGGAACTGGTTTCTCAGTAAAGTAATGTCTTTCTTCCTCTTTCCAGTGAATAAGTGCAGCTGCTGCTGTGTCCTATCAGATTTCCCAGTCAGAGTGAAGAAACTAAATGCAACTTAGCATGGAGAACCTTTGTCAGAAAGCATTTCTATCTCAACCTAACTTCATAGTAGTTCATCACTACGTAAACTTCATTACTACTATATTACATTTATTATTTCAGTTGCATTGAAGTACTGACCATGTGAGTGGGATAAAAATATTCTCTCTGACTCAGTGTCTGATGCAAGTACTGCAGCCTTGTTCTTAAATAGTCCTAAATTACATACAAAATTTATGGAGTGCATAAGGTATAGTAATTATTTAGAGAACAAATTTTTCTAAGAAAGTGTAGGATGCTGTTACAAGCTGGGTCTCAGTCAGTATCTTTTATTTCCATGAAGACGAATGTTAGTGGTTACAGGGTTTTAAGGGTGAAATTAACTTGACAAATGTTACAGTTTAATTTTTTGACTCATTGTTAAATCAGTGTCACCTTGTGGTCTGTTTTCCAGACGGGAGTCAGAAAGGAGAAATCATTCATTAGCTCGCCATGCAGACATCCTCGCTGCTGTGGAAACAAGACTCTCTCTCTTAAATATGACTTTCATGAAGTATGTGGATTCCAATCTCTGTTGCTTCATACCTGGCAAGGTAAAATGTAGACTATATTATGTGAATATGTATCTGTGTTTAAAAAATAGGACTGTAACTTGGCCTGGCATAGCTGGGGAAAATTGATGTTGTGTATATGTATATATATACACACATATATATACATATGTGTACATATATATATATATGTACTTGCACACAAACCTACAAGCTAATACTTTGTTTTACCAGTCAGTCTGTAATGAGTAAAGCAGTCTGTATTTAAATATTAATTGTTTTAAATTTGATTTCTATTTGCCCTTAGATTCACTCTTGAATCTTATGTTTGATTTGTGGTATACTCATCCGCTACAACCTTTTAGAAAAAAAATGTGATCAGGCCATCTGAAGATGTAGTAATTTATACTACACATAACACTAAGCAGTCAGTCAATCAAGATTTTAGGCAACTTTCTTAAGGGCTTGAGTACTTCAGGTTAATTGAATTAAGTATTTAGTATGTCAAAATACTGTTCAGTATTGCAGTGAATGGTATATTTTTGTACAGTAGGTGGAATTAGTTTTAAATGTAAAGTGTGTTAAATGGGAACATTACTGAACAGTTCTGGTGTTTTAGAATACCAGCCCAGCATTAAATATAAATTATGCAGGCAAGATGTACGTTGGAGATACTGATGTTTTATAAGCTGTGAAATCACCAGTGCACAGGGGAATTGACAAAATCGTGCTCAGAGGAAGACTGGTACAGCTCAGGGATTAAATGAGATCAGTGAACATTATCCTAATGCTCTATTCATTGATCTTTCCATGTAAGGTTCCAATATGTTGATGTTACATTTTTGTGGGCATAGAACAGAGCTGCAGTGGGATGAATGGAAAAGTTATCTCTTGGGTTCTGGGGAAGCATGCAGGCATTTATGCAAGCAGTGGTAGGATAAGCTGTGGGCATGGAATGTATTTTTATCTTGAAGAAGTAACTATTTCTGTACACTCCTGTCGATTTGATATTTTATTAATTTCAAATTATATTCTTATTTGACTTTACATTATCTTTTTATATGCCATGTATTTTTTTAAAAATAATATAACAAAGTCAAATGAACTTAAGTCCCTGATACTTACATGGTAAATGGGATACTTAAAAAAAATTTGCCCTACTGTTTTGAAAAGTAGAGGGAAAGGCAGTACTCACCCTAGACCAGGGGCATGCAGGAGTTGGGCGGGTGAGTTTGCTTTTCACTGTGGGCACCAACTTGTAAGGACCTTGATTTTATTTTGATACAACTGCTAAAATGTTTGTGGTGGATTGGTTTTTTTTAATTAGTTAGTGTGTGAGTTTGCTAGCATTGCTGCTCTCTCAGCACAATTACCAGTTCACCCATTAATTAATATTTTGGTCAATCAGATTCAACGCTTAATGTTCACTTACAGTCTGTGGTTTCCCTCCCACCTGCTTTGCTGCCCTCAGGAAATTTCACCACAGAACTGCCAGGAAGTGGTGTTACAATATGCAAATCTTGATTTGAGGTTCAGCATTCTCTGTGATAGCAGAGCACTGCTGCAAGGTTTTATATTAAGGATGTTGTTGCTAACAGGACATAACATGGATGAAATTATAGAAGTCTTGTTGTTTGTTGCTTGATGAGAAACTTAGGTCTTGTCTAGCTTTTGGGACTTTTTAGCTAAGCTTCCTTTATGAGAACAGAAAGTGCAACTTTATTGCAAAGTTCTTATTATGTGTGGTTCTTCAGGAAACTCTTCAGACATTCTTAATCTTCTGCAAAATACCTGTAGCTTTGGCTAAGAGACCAGCACTCCTATCTTGACCTGCCTCAGACTTTAATTCATAAATTAGTGAGACACCCTTCATCTCTCTGTATCCTTCCTAACCAAAGGGCTTTGTTTCCCAAACCTGTCAAGAGAATTTTGTTCTCTTTCAAAAGTGGATTGATGTTTTGTAAATGAATATATTTTGGACTTAATCTGAATTTGCAATATTTTGTGTATGTGGAAGTGGACTCAAGTAAATATTTACAGCTCTTCAGACTGACATAATGCTAATTCTTGCTACTTGAATTCTGTTTCATAACTGGCAGGGGTAGTGACTGCTCTGCTTTGGGGCTTCTTGCTTCAGGTTCTCCTGAAGGAAATGATCATGCTCTCCTGAGTATAGATTATGTAACTTGCAAGCCAACTACGGCTGTACTTCAGATTTCACCCAATGAGCATTATTTCGTGACTTTGAAGACAGCTGTTGTGATAGATAAAATGAATAACTTCTCTGATATATCATGAACAGCACTTCAAAAAGCTAATCTGGAACTAAAACATGGAGTAGTATGCAACTGTTATGTGGTAAAAAACCCAGAATTCCTAGAACAAACTGAAATAATCTTGCCTTTATCAGAAAATCCTAATTGTTCTTAAATGTTTTAGGTAATAGATGAAATTTATCGAGTGCTAAGATATGTAAACTCTACAAGAGCTCCTCAGAGAGCTCATGAAGTTCTTCAAGAACTAAGGGACATTTCCTCCATGGCTATGGAATATTTTGATGAGAAGATTGTTCCAATACTGAAAAGAAAGATGCCTGGGTCAGATGTATCGGGACGTCTAATAGGAACTGCCCCAGGTATTAATTCCAACATATAGTTAAGTTTTATTTAGTTTTTCTTTACAAAAAACACAGCACTGTATGTTTTCAAAACTCTCTCCCTTAAATGGGAGCTTTATTACATAAATATTGATGATACTTGTTTCTTAAGAATGCTAACTGAAATTTATTTGCTTTGAAATTTAGGGAGCCTTTGTACTACCAAAAGAACAGTCACTTGAATGTATGTTAGAATTATGCATAGTGTGTATTCGTTAAACAAATGCTTTGTGCCACCAATGAATGAGACATTATCACTGCATTTGGTTGAAATTTGGCACATGAGATGACAACTGGATGCCTTTTATTTTTAGGACAAGGTGCAAATGAATTTGCCTAAGTGGTAGTGCTACATAGAGGGCTAGAATGGGCTTTTTTTTACTTTACTGGGGGTACTGTTTTATGCACTAACAAGCAAAATAGTTAGAGGTAATAGTGAAAAGGCAATTGAAGTAACAGTCTATAAATAAGCCATTAAACTGGTCCTTCCTATACTCTGTCAGACTTTCCAGAACTTTTGTGAACCAAACTCTAAAGTAGTAGCCTCATGGCCGAAGTTATCCTAATGGTAAAAGGCAGAAGATTGGTAAAATTACAGAGTTTTCCCTATGCAGGAAATGTTCACACTTTAGGAACTGTGAAATTTAACTCTCTAGAAGGATATCTTAGTAAAAATTGGGGGAAAAACATACATCTTAAGCAAAAACAATAGGCCTAACTGCAGATGCTTTTGTTTCTTGTATGTCTTATCCATCCTTTTAGCTGTAAATGTGTGTGCCACCTTTTAATTATACCCTGTTAGTTAAACTTTCTCTTTTTTTTTAATTAAAGACCTTTTTTAAAATTATATGTGATTTTATTTTTTTAATTACATGTGTTAATATATACTGAGCCTCTCAGCTGAGGAAGTATTGCCCAAACTTGACAGAGCTGATGTCAATCAACTTCTCAAGGCCAAGGCTTTGTGCATAAAATGCTTCTCTCTTGTTAAGGGAAGGGCGTAACCTCTCCAATAGCAACCCCTTAGTGTCACATAATGGTAGCTGTGCTGGCATCCTAATGGAAAAAAAGGAGGAAAAGGAAGATGACTGTTCCAGACTCTTCTGTCTGTAGAGCGCTTGAAGTTGCACCTTACTTGCACAGCTTTGCTAGTAAAGTATAATGACAGCAAAAGTGATAGATATCTTATATGGCAGAAAAAGTGAAAGAAATTATACAGTAGCTGTTAGTCTCCTTGATTTGCAGGAACTTTATTAGAATCAACAGTTCCAAGCTCAGATTCCAGTATGGTTTTAGTGCTTAGGAAGAGTGATTCTAAAGAAGCATGGAAAGTAAATTCCTTTCTTCTAAAATGTAAGTTATACTGAAATACCTTGTTAAGTTCCAAACTACGAATTTTTAGAACTTCAGCTATCTGCAGCTAAGAGCAGAATTTTGCTGGTCTAATGAAAGATATTTATTCAGTCTTAATTATTCCATATTAAGTAATTTATAGTTGTTTTGTGGGGTTTTGTCTTAACATCTCTGACACGAAGTCTAGATGACAACACAGTCGTAGTTCTATACATTTTATAATACAGCAAAAGGTGGGGGGCTTATATACAGGAAATGAATTATGAACTTTTTTCCAGGCTACTGGAAAGCTGTAAGTATTTTAAATTAAACTGGTTGTGCTCTGAGATTACCACATGTTCTTGTTAGACACTTCAGTGACTGTAAATCTGTTTACCTGTTCACGTAACTTGCAGTGGGTATTTGGGTTCATGTGTGGGGAGTAGAGATAAGCAAAATATGAACACTGGGACACCGTTTCTACCCGTAAGTCGCAGGGTATTAATCACAGTTCTCTCTGAAGTTCCAGGACCTTCTGCAGCACTGACAACAATGCAGCTGTTCTCCAAACAGAGCCCTTCCAGGCAGGAAGTCACCAAGCTGCAGCAGCAGGTGAAAGCCAACGGCACGGGCCTGACGGCGCTAAAGCGGGAGATCTCAGAGCTGCGCGTCAAAGTGCAGGAGCAGCAGAAGCAGCTCCAGGATCAAGACCAGAAACTGCTTGAGCAAACCCAAATCATTGGGGAACAGAACGCCCGCTTGGCCGAGCTGGAGCGCAAGCTGCGAGAGGTGATGGAGAGCACAGTAGGGAATTCTTCAGGTTCCGGCTCAAATGAACAGTCTCCCCGGAAACGGAGGAAGGCGGTGGATTCCACAGACTGTCCTAGGAAATCTAAACGCCTTCGGAACAGAAAATAACTGGGAAGGAAATGGCACCTTCAGGAGGATACACTGCTCTAGTAGCCTAAGCAGGCCTGCTTGTTTGGATACTGTGACCCGCTTCATGGTGTCACGTAGGCTGCTGGCTCTTCAAAACACCACTTAGACTTGAACAGTAATTTTCTTTCATTGACTTTTCCCCTGCTTTCTATATGGGTGGGCCTAATGCACAGAATCTTTTAAGATTTGCAATAGCTACATACTAACCACACCTGCTCTGTTATGTTTTGAAGGGTTAACCTTTTTTTTTCCGTGCAGATGTGTTTAAAGTAAACTTATTTGTGTTTATGCATATGTTCACATAAAATCTTAAATAAATTGTCTTAACTGACTAAATGGTTAAGAGTAAAAACAGATGTCCTGTTCACTTGAAGGAAAGATCCGCTTTTAAAACCTTGTTTTTGAGAACTTGACCTTTTTTGTTACAAGTGACCTTGTCTGGAATGTCTGAAAAGTAGTTAATACTTTTTGGGGTTCTCTGTAATGAGTAAAACTGACTTCTTAAGCTACAGTATTGGCTATATATTTTTGTAAACTTCCATGGAAGGGCCTTCTATTCAGTCTTCACATGCACACACCCTGGTTCTAGGTCTTGGGAGCCATATTCTACATTTGCATGGATAGATGCATGTACAGCTTAGTCAGCCTGCCAAAAGCACTTGCCTGAAACTGTTCCAAACTCTGGGAGAGAGCACAGAGACCTGTCAAGCAATTCCTTTGTTCCTCAGCCATAACTCAGTCTCTGCTTTCAGCACAGCGGCTTCCTCGCAGCGAGGTGGTCTGGGAAGGCGAGCGGCAGAAGCGTTTGAGCCCGGGCTGTGTGGCTGCCACTCGCCCTGCCTGGAAGGAAGGGATTTATTGTTAGCCAAAGCTGGAGAATGGAGAGGCTGCCTGTGCATCACTTGGTTCATAGGCCAACACCGAACACCTACAAATTGTCCCTGGAGTCACCGAGCTCTGGGGACATCATTTGCGTGAAATGCTGTATTATGGAAGAACTTAAACTATTTTGTGTGTCTGTGTTGGGGTTGGGGTGGAAATTTCTCTGTAACACTGATGACAATATTCTAAGCTTTCCTTATCCTAAAAGGTAAACCACTTCAGACAGAGCTTTAATTTCTTTTGCACTTCTGTTTTGAGCTTGTAACTGGAAAAGCATGTCTTGCACTGTTCAGTCTCTTTGGTCACTTTAACCGCCTCAGAGTTGTGTACAGTGATTATTCCCCCCTGCCATCTGTATATTTTTGGAATCTTATACAAATACCATTGTCCTTGGTTTTGTTTTAATGTACTAAACTATGTAGCTTTATAATTTGACTTATGTTTTCTTTTTTTAACCAGCTGCTGCTTTGTCTTTAGGTGGTTCTGAATTCAACTTGGTTTGGCACTGAAAATGCAAATGCTGCATTTGTAGCTTTCTTGATATTACTGCTGTGGGTTCAAGTGCAAGCTCATTTTGTATGGCTGTCAGCATAACCTAGTGGCTGTATTTAAAGCACCAAACAAATCAGAAGTTGTCTGGTCAGATATTATATAATCATGGAAAACTGACATTTTTCCTGAAAATTCAGCTACAATTTTTACTTCTAAAACATGGTAGCTCATACCAGAAATAACATTGCAAATGCCTAATATTTGACAGACATTTAGCTTTCAAATAAACTTTTCGAGCAATTTGAGTCTTTTCCAAAGAAAAAGGCATTTTTCTTAAGCATCAAGGAAATTATAAAAGGCTGTCTGAGAGCAGACTTAAACTGTTGAAGGAGGATTTGCTTGTACTGGTTTTCTGCAGCTCAGAATGTTTTTTACGGGTAAGTCTATCTTGGAGATAGGTACCTGCTATTCAGCTCAAAGATACTAGCATATACCTTAACTTCTAAAAAACAATTTTGTGTCAAAGGGTCAGCATGATAGCCAGAATTACTGTGTGATACAAATTCATTGAACGTTTTTTTCTGATAAAATATTCCTGTAATAGAGTAATTACCATCTACTTGTGGTTAAATACTTCCAAACAAGTGTAAACTTGTGAATTGCATTTACTGAAAAGGTTTATTCATACATTTTGAATATTTTTCACTTTAGTTTCTTTATGAATTTCTAGAATATGCAGACAATTTCCCCTTCCCCACCATCCCAGCGTACAGATTGTTTCAGGTTACCCCACAGTAGAATTTCTGGATGTGCTGGGGAATCTCTGGCTGTCCATAAACTGAGTTGGAAAACAACAGCCAGTTGTTATGGGAAACGTTCTCTGGGAACGGTTCCAACTTGGAACCTTCAGCTCAAGGAAGTATCACATGCTCCAGGATTGCAGGTGCATCCTGCTCCTCCGTGTGCTGATAGTGAAATGGAATGAGGCCCATGAAACTTAAGGGGTAGAGGGGATGGTTACAAGGCAGCTCTGAGAAATGCCATGATGAAGATACAGCAGTGTCTTCTATTTCACATCCTAGAGAGGGAAGGGTCTGGTGGCTGTTGGCTGGAATGTATGCCAGAAAAATATACACGTGGGAAAAACAGAATGAAGTAATTGGACAAAATAGCCGGAACATTAATTTCTGACACCATATTGTCCCTTGTTAAATAAAAAGGATTCATTTGCAATATATGAACAAGTTGATGAATCACCTGAAGTAAAACTAAATCTCTTTTCACTCTCAGTGCCTGTGCACATTTATGTGAGTTGGTGTATCAGCCTTGAAGTAGTGTTGGAAGTGATTAGTGATTGTATCATCTGTTCAAGGGAGAGCCTTAAACCAATGAGACTGACATGTAAGTTGCAAAATTACGTGGAAAATTGATTAATTTGCAGCCACTCTTCAGTTTTAGTACTTGTGTCAAGGGCTGAAACTGAAAGAAAGATCAGAGCTGACAAGGAGAGCAATTTTAAGTGTCTTATATTTAGTTTCTTAAAATAACTTGAAACTACTGAGGTCAGCTTTACTGCTTTTCTAAAAATAGCACTTGCTTAGGAACTGCTTTTTGTTTCATAGTAAGGTTGGGGATTTTTTTTACAAATTTGTGTACCTAGTGACCATGGTGAAAATAAGATCAAAAGAAATCGTAGTGGTACGTTTTTGAGGGGAAAAGCTGTTTGCGACAAGGTCTTGCTTCCCAAATTGAACAGCCTCTGTGTAAGTACAGTATGTAAGGACCCTCCAAACCTGGGCTAATGGGTGTAACAGGTAGGAGTGCTGAAGGAACAAAGACTACCTGCTTAACAAGATAAATTTCACAGATTAAAGAACAGATGGAAGCAAATGGAACTTTGTCAGTTCCTGATGCTCAGCGTTGCATGTTCATCACCAAATTTATTAATGCTAGAAAAGATGCTTGCATGTAACTTCTTAATGTGAAAGGTAAGACAGAATTGAGCAGAAACTCAGTTGCTCTTACTCAGATCTTCTAACAGTGAATTGTGGGGAGCAGTAGGATTGCCAAAGGAATTTTCAACAGTAAGATCCTCTTGAAAATAGGATGATGTAGGATATAGTGGAAGGTGTCTCAGCACAGGAGTCCCTGATTCCTTGGTGTTCCTGATGGTTTTAAAAGGGTAACTAGCAAATTACAGTGATAGATTGTTACGTCATGAATAAGTAAATTCAGTTAGGACTATTTTACAGCAACATGTCTATTAGTTGTGAACTACTCTGTTTGACTCCAGTTGGATTTCTGTGCTACTTTGCACTGTACGTGACCCAGCCACTGTACCTTGTCCATGAGCTCTCCACTCTTGCAGTTCTCTTTCCTGGATCTCACCTTCCGTGTTCTAAGGATGCACTCCTGGATTTGGTTTGTACATGTAAGGGAACATTCCAGGATTTTTGTCCAAGCTTTGCCCCAGCTGAAGACACAGTAGGTACTGGATCTTACTGTCTCTGGAATGGAAAATGTCAGATAGAAAAACTGTTGGCTTGCTGAAGACCTAATAAATCTGGATTTGTTACACAGACTGCTTAAACCAGACTGATTAAAGGCAGTGATTAAATACAAAGGACACTTTGTTCTCCAGTACACTTGGGCAATTAAATTGTTCAAAACTTTCCTATCTATTTTTTTTTTTTTTTAGTTGTTTAAACCTTGTTTAATTGCTCTGGAATGTTTAGTTTATAAACCTGGGACCTTCTGTTTAATTGCCCTTCTGAAGTTCTTGACCTTTTACAAACCTATGTATGTTAGTAGTGCTGTAAACCTGCCTCTGTGTACTGAACTAATGTGCTGTCACTTCTCCAGTGCTCCTGTCACCCGCTGCCACACTCCTTCTTTTGGCAGGATCCTTCCCATGGATGAGGAGGTCTTTAGCACAATGATGGATAGCAGTGCTAATATTTGAACTCCAACCAGAAGGGAACACTGTCAGAAACGTTACATGCGGTTTTTGGAGTGCAGCTGAGTGAAACACTTGTGACCCTGGCAATTCTGCAGTCAGCTGCTGCACTGGCAACCCCAAAGCTTCCAGGTTTATTGTGAAACGGTCACTGACCAAAAAGTAAACCTGGCAAGGTCACAGTGCCTCGATTAAATCTAGACATCTGCGTTGCCTCTTGTGCTGCACCAGTCTTCACAGTCTGCACCATTCAGATTCTGTGACTAAGGAGGGAAAGGCTGAGCAAAGCCTTTTCCATGCCTCACCTCCTTGCTGCGTTTTTCATTTCTAAATCCCACCCTAAACATGCACTAACTAAAATGCATGCAAACCAAACTATTCACAAAAGTGTTTTGTTTTATGGATCCTGTGCTTTGTCCACCACTTCACACTGCGAACATTTCCAAGAAGGGATTGAATTTCCCCTCCAATAGCCCTGTGGCACGTGGGCCTTCAGCAGCTTGCAGGCGTAAGCCTTTTGTACTCATTATAAGTAATAAATTTTAAGTGATGAATCATAAACCTTGAGATACCAATACTCCATGAAGAGATAAGGTATAATTTACTTTGTGATAATAGCCTCCATTGGTTTTATCACTACTGTTGATTTAGATTAATTTGAGTGGATTTTTGATCTACTGATTTAGATTATTATGAGTAGACAACTAAAATTCCAAGGAAGCAGTAGATCAACTTCTACATGGGGTAATCTTTCTCGCTGAACTGCCAGCACACAGTGTTTTATGACAAATACATGTAGTGACAGATTAAGTGGAGGTTAGTTCTTCCATAGGAGTTTGTCAAAGAAGTTCTTACTACAAAAAGGGAAGGAAACGGAGACTTTGGTGCAGGCATTTGCAGTTGTAGTTCAGTACCTTTAGGCAGGGTATCTGTAAGCACGGGGTCAGGCCGGGACCAGCCCACGGGAGCGCGGGTTTAGGGCGGCGGATCGCGGCTGCTGCGGGCGGCCCCGCGGGCCCCGCTCTGAGGGCGCCTCCTTCCCGCT